ATTAGAAAGTAAATATAAGAAGCTAATAGAAAGAAATTCCAGTTCAATATTTCTGACAGCAGTAGATGAAAAAGAAATAATTGATATTGTTAAAGAATGCAAAAACAAACCATCCACTGATCACGATGGATTAGATATAAAAATGATTTTAAAAAAAGTAATAGAGGGGATCGCCAAACCACCAACGAACATCTGCAATTTATCATTTTCAACCGGTAAATTTCCAACAAAAATGAAAATAGCAAAAGTTATTCCACTATATAAAACTGGAAATAAACACCACTTCACAAATTACAGGCCTGTCTGTCTACTGTCACAATTTTCAAAAATTTTTGAACAATTATTTAACAACAGATTAGAGAAATTTATTGATAAAAATAAGCCACTCACTGACAGCCAATATGGATTTAGAAAAAATAGATCGACCTCACTAGCACTAACAGAACTCAGTGAAGGAGTTACATACTCCACAGATAAAAAGAAATATGCAGTTGGGATTTTCATTGATCTAAAAAAAGCATTTGATACAATAAATCACAAAATATTGATCAGTAAACTGGAACAAATCGGGATCAGGGGGGTGGCTCTAAACTGGATAAGTAGTTACCTGAGAGACAGACAACAATTTGTGAAGATGGGAGATTATAGGTCTGAATGTCTGGGCATTGCTTGTGGTGTCCCCCAGGGGTCAGTGTTGGGACCAAAGTTATTTTTATTATATATCAATGATATTTGTAAAATATCTCAAGTATTGCATTTTGTATTATTTGCAGAGGTTATCAATAAATTTGAGTAAAACTACATTCATGGTATTTGGAAACGTAAATCAAAGCATCGAGCACAGATACAGATAGAGGGGTTAACATAGAAAGACTTCATGAAAATAAATTCTTTGGAGTGATCATAGATGGCAACATTTGCTGGAAGCCTCACATAAAACACATCAAAACCAAACTGTCCAGAAGTATTTCAATCCTAGCTAGAGCTAAGCACATTCTGGATTCCAAAGCACTTCACATCCTGTACTGCTCACTACTCTTACCTTATTAGAATGACTGTGTAGAGGTTTGGGGGAACATTTATCAACACTCACTGCAGCCATTAGTCATAATGTAAAAAAGAGCAATAAGAATCATTCACAACGCCGGACTATGGGATCATATAAACTCATTATTTCTAAAATCTAAACTGGTAAAATACCAAAACCTAAAGCAATGCCCAAACATATTCCTTTTCAAAAAAATGTACAAAGCAATTATTTTCAGAAGGTATAGAGAAGCATAGCAGAAAATGTTGTTTGTTTTTTTATTTTGTTTATTTGTATATATG